GGGGGGGGGGAGAGGGGAGGGGGGGGGGGGGGGGGGGGGGGGGGGGGGGGGGGGGGGGGGGGGGGGAGAGAATGTCGTGGTTGTAACTATTTACTTGATGTTATAAATGCTTAGAAAAATTGTTGCTTTTTTTTTTCTTTTTGTCAATATCATTGTGAATTTCAGTGCGACCGTTTTTTTTTCCACGATTTTTTGTAGTTTTATTTTGGCATTGATAAAATGACCAGTTCACATTGTCCACTGAAAATGCCACGCTGAAAATTGACCATACTTTCATGCGCATTGAAACTGACGTCAGTCACAACTGGTATGATGCTTATTGAATACGTACAACGCTAAATGAACAGGACAGTAAGTGGAACGCTGAGCGTGACTGCGAAAAACCATCTGTGTGGGGCGTACCAGACATGAACTCCTTGGATTCCATGATTCAGAATCGTGATAATCTTAAACCTGTCAAGATTTCTGGAGAAAGGGGTAGGCTACGCCCACGTGAAAAAAAAGTACGGTGTGATCCTTCTCTTTGTTTCTTTCCGAATCTTGTAACCGATTGATGGCTCATTTCACAGCGCTTACTTGTGAATTTACGTATTGTGTCCAAGTTTATTTGTAAAACTGAGAAATTGTCGTTATTGAATTTCACATTGGGCATTTGGTATTCCTGTTGTGCACTGCTTACCAAGAGCACTTCACGAGGCGCTTATTTTCACCAATACAAATACATTTTTTGGACTTTTATTCGTGCCTGTTCATTTTTTTGCTAACAGACAAAGAACCAGAAGTCTTCATCGCCACATTGAACGACTGTCGCATTTCTCAGCAAACCATAGCGCGCTCTGTTCCGGGGGGATTATATCAGTGCTTCGTAAAAAAGCTGTTGTGCTAAATTTCACAGCCAGAATTTCATTTTGTGCAACTGTCGTAGCGAAGATACGTATGTTCTGTTCAGAAGGATTCATGCCTCCAATTCTTAACCATAAAAAATAAACAGACGTGTGATTTAACAAGCCCATGCTTTCCAGGCATGAACTCAGTCGGCATCGCACCCGACCGCCAAATCCGGGCATTCATCGGCGTACACGACTGCTGGTTGTCGACAATTCAGCGTTAGGCAAAGAAGCGAACACGTGCGGCAAACTGGCCTACTGCATTGATGTGTGTAAACCGGGAAGACGGAAAAAGCATATGCCGCATGCGACGCTTGGCGATAAGGTTACGGCTTCGGAACTTTACACCATGTCGTCCCTTTTCTAGTTGACTGGCACATTGTTGGTACCGTTCCCAATTCACGTTTATTTGGCGTTCAATTTTTTGCTTAAATTTTGGTATTTCACATAAGGCCACAGCACGACCGAGGATTCGTGCAACACCGGCGATGAGACTGAACTGTCATCCCCAGAAGGAGTGAACGGACTCCGGTTAACTGAAAAACATTACGTCTCGTCAACTTACATTCCGGGCCATTTCAGGATAACAAAGACGCAAATGCTGAGACCGACGTCCGGCACCCATCCTCGCAGGTCCTGTTTAGCCATCCTCCTCGCTGTATAGACTTAGATTTTTTTTTTTTTTTTTTTGGGACTTTTAGCTGTGCTCGAAAGTGACACCTAGAGTGGTCTGGCGGCAAATTCAAGCAGTCGATCCCTGCCCCAAATAAGTGGGTGCCGTAAAAAACAGTTTCATTCGAGACATGCAGCCCTCCACGGTTCTCGCGATTTTTTTCGTCGCACCAAGGTCAAGTACCACAGTTTCAACTGGGATTTCTGAGTTACACTTGTCCCGAGCTTGCTCTGGCCCGAGTTTCAGGCAACTTTCAAAAATCGATTTTTTTTTTAAATCTCCTTATTATAACCTTAGGTCTTCAAATTTTACTGATTTTACTGATGCATTTTTATAGATACTGGTTGCGATACGTGGCGAGATGAAGCGGGCGTTCGTTGTTGGAGCAAATACTCACGTTCACTATCGAAAACACGGGATACCTTCAACTGATACTAATAACATCGTACTTTTGGTGAGTTTGTTTATACAATCCTCTCCGGTCGCTCCCCTTTCCCTCCCCTGCCCTTTATTTTTTATTGTTCAACGAGTCTACAGTTGGTTTATAGGTGTAGCTGCAACTGGTGATTATTTTTTGGCTCAAAGCGCCTGATTTTTTTTGAGTGTGATTCGATTTAACATTCTTCACATACTGCAGGCGAAAATTATTCCTAGCCTTTGTTATAAAGCAGTTCATCAAAGAACCTAAGCCATTTCTACCGTAGCTTGCCTGAATGAAGCAGTGTCATCGCATTATTCCAGTTGTAGCTCGAGCCACAAAGAGTCGCCCTATCCTGGTTTATGTTTGTGAAGCAGTAAAATGAAAAAAGTTTTATACTAATTTATCGAAAAAACTTTTTTTTGTTCTGTTGTCTCAGAATGCTCGTACACACAAACACATACACATACATATATACACTTTGAAATAGTGGGCTCCTTTTTCCACGTTTTACTGTCACGCAGTACCAGGATTAAAGGTATACAAATTTCAGGACGATGAAGGCAATCCGCTTGGAACGCGAATACTTATGCCTGTACCTGCCGTATTACAACGAAAACGAGATAATTTGCAGCTCGCGAAAGTTTTATCACTTGCTACAAAATATTTTTGATTAGTTTTTAACAGATTTGATAGAATTGTTTCTGTTACTCCAGTTAAACGTTTTCCATATTATCTGTGATTGGAATTTCAGTTTCCTGAACGGCTTAAACCTGTTAAAACATTTTACCTGAACAGTGTCTGAATACCGGGATAACACCTCTGGGAGTGTGGCGCTCAATACCCCTTAAATTTTATTCACTGCAGGATACTGGAATCGGTCCTCAAATCAACGTGTGCAAAAAGCAGCACCTTTGACCTTCCGGAAAATGATGTTTGCACACTCATCTCCTGAGTGTGTTGTTTCTGGGGATGAAATTTCATTGACTGAGGGAGAAAAGTGGGGTAAAGCCGCTACAATCAGCAGCATACCACACCGAGTAAGTGTCATGCCAGGGCTAGTTCCAAATTTGTGAGAACGTTTCGATGACGCAGAGGACTGCTGACCGATGGTTGTTTCATTGACAGATCTTTGTAGCAAAAACTATTAATTTACCACAGTCGAACTGTTGGCCCTTGACAAGTTCACATATAAATTCATTACTCAAACAGGACAAAGAACATACTTTACATCAACAAACACCGTAACGAAACAGTGGCGCACCCAGCAGCTGTAAGAATTGGTACAACTGTGTGGGGAAGAAAATGCAAAAAATTACGCTTAGAGACAAAAATAAGTGCAGGTAAAAAAATTCAGCAAATTCAGTACAAAATTTCAGGGAGAGACGGGTTTGGCCAAATGGGCATAACATTAAAAATTATGTGCGCACCACTGCTCGGAAACTGTGCACGCTACTGCATTATTAATTATAAACAACAAGAGCTAATCCAGGAATCCTCTTCGTAAAGGTTTCTCCAGGACATCTGATTTCAAGGTCAAATGCACACATTTCCAAGAAAATTGCCAAAGAGATGTTTATATTACACAAGTTAAAAACAAAAAAAGAAATAGTTTTTTGTGTTTTGTAACTTCGATTGTGGGGGCAGGCAGGCAAGGCCAGAGCTTCGCTTTTACAATGTCTAACAGGAAGTCAAAAAATTTTTATATGCAGACTCAAGAACGTTACACATTCACTGATTTTGAAATATGCAAATGTGTTAGTTTATATACATACCATGAATAAATACACACATACAGACATAATAATGTGTGTGTATTAATGTGCATATTATGCGTTTTTGTTACAACGTGCAAAGACGCATACTGTCGGCTATTCTCTCACCCTTTGGAAATACAATAGAAAATACAAAAAACAGCTGAAAAAGCCGGTCGGCTGACAGATAAAATCCGTCGGCCAAGATAATATTAACATCGCAAAACCACCACAGGCATTTTCCCAAC